TATGTTTAGACACCCACAACATTTGTTTTAAAAAGTAACAGAAGGAGAAACAGGTCAAGACAAAATCCTGACACAGGCTTACACTGAAATAGGGGGAGTGAAAAGAAATAGATAAGAACACATGCAAACATAGTAGAGCACTGCAAAACAAATGGCGATGTATTCAAGGTGAATACAGCAGTTAATGAAGGGATTAAAGCTGTGCCAATGAGAAATAAGAAATTCTTACACCAGTTACATTTCTCAGTTTTGTTGAAAAAGTAGGGCTGGGCGGTTTCGTTTCGCTAATTCGTAATTCGTTAAAAATTCGTTATTTTTTATAACGAAGCGATAACGAACCATTCTGGAGCAACTTAAAAACGAAACGAATTTTTAAATTCGTTTCGCAAATGCTTCGGATTCGTTATGTATTCGTTTCGTTATCGGTTTGAGGTCGTTTCGTTATTATTTCCGCATGTCTGGGGCAAGTTTTATAGTTGTTTTTTGTTTAATTAGTGAAAAAAAATTATAATATCACACCAACAGTCAACAACAGAGGGAGAGGGAAGCTTCAGAAGTTCCCCCTGTCCCATTTGGAGGTTTTTTAGCGTATTGCGCGGTCGCGTCCGCTATTAACGAATCGATTCGTTATTGTTTCGTTATTGTTTCGTTAATGTTTGGTAATTTTTTTTTACATTTACGAAATTTTGTAAATATCGAACTTTTTAAAAGAAAAATTTCGGAATTCTTTTAAATATCGAAACGCAAAACCCCCCAAAAAACGAATCGATTTTAGAAACAAATTTTTCCGTTGTTACCCAGGCCTATGAAAAAGACCTTTTCGGAAAGAAAACATGAAACTCTAGCCACTGCAGGAAACTATTATGAACAGAACACAAAAAGAGGTGAAAAGGCATTCTTGCAGCACCATATACATCAGGCATGGGCAAACCTCAGCCGCTTAAGGGGAAAAGGAAAGGGTCTGAGGCTGTTAGGAATTGTGCAAGTTGAAGACCAAAACACCGGGAGGGCCCAAGTTTGCCCATGCCTGGCATATATGAATGACTCATGACCCATAGCCTTGTAATATTGCAAGACTTGGTGACAAGAATTTGACCTCTAGCTTTCCTTTAGAAGAAAACACCTGTGTGTTTAATTGTTTTTTGACTGCTGAAATAATTTCAATACATTGTGCAGTAATTTTAATCTGGAAGATTGTTAAGCACCCTCCCATGTGGTGGGTGTAAGACAAGAAAATACAAGCTCGCAGAAAACAAGAAAACAGAAGAGTATTCCTTGATGCTCCAGTGTTCAAGAATTGTTGTCATAGAGTGTCACTGTTAAGATTCACAACATGCACTAAGTTGTGTTAGACAAATTTTGTGTGTATAGATCATGTTACAGAACACTAAAAAAATCAAGACTGACAAAAAAAATGAAAATTCAGAGCTACAATGTCATCTAACCCAGGTAAAGGTAAAGGTTTCCCCTTGACATTAAGTCTAGTTACATTAGACTTTGGGGGATAGTACTCATCTCCATTTCTAAGCTGAAGAGCCAGCATTTTCCATAGACGCCTCCTAGGTCATGTGGCCGACATGACTGTTACCTTCCCGCCAAAGTGGTACCTATTGATCAACTCACATTTGTTTGTTTTCAGACTGGTAGATTGTGCCCCCAGTGGCACAGTGGGTTAAACCGCTGAGCTGCTGAACTTGCTGACCGAATGATTGGCAGTTCCAACCCAGGGAGCAGAGCGAGCTTCTACTGTTAACCCCAGCCTCTGCCAATCTAGCAGTTTGAAAACTTTCTAATGTGAGTAGATCAATAAGTACCGCTTCTGCAGGAAGGTAATGGAACTCCATGCAGTCATGCCAGCCACATAACCTTGGAGACATCTGGACAAAGCTGGTTCCTTGGCTTAGAAATAGAGATGAGCACTACCCCCCCTCCAAGAGTCGGAAACAACTAGATTTAATGTCAAAGGGAAACCTTTACCTTTAGGTAAAGCTGGGGCTAACAACAGGAGCTCACCCCATCCTGCTGATTCGAACCACCAACCTTCTGGTCAGCAAGTTCTGCAGTTAGCAGGTTAACACCACAGCCCCTATAACCCAGACATGGTTTGCTAAATTTATCCAGCTTCAAAATGCTGGGATAAAATATATACCCAAACTATTTATACACATATATTACTTTATGACGGTTAAATCTTTCAAAAATGATGAGATTTTCATAGACATTCTATACTTGTTCATAGCCTTTTGGCTCCACTGTTCACTTTCCTTCAGTATTAATGCATGGCAGATATGCCACACATCTACAGAATATAATCAGTGTGCATGCTTTGCATTTAGATTACAAAGGCTCAGGTCCAGAAAGCGTATAGTGTAAAAATGAAAGAGGACATTTAATTTATCTGACAAAGTATGATCTAATTCACAAAAGTCCAAGGTTATTAGAGAGTGCCACAAGACTTGACTCCAGAATTTGTAACATTTCCAGTGCTAAATACTCAGACTAAAAGTGTAGTGAGAACTTCTCCTGAATTGTAAATTTTCAGCAGGTTTCCGGGGGGGGGGGGGGGGGGGGGGGGCTACTCTCTGACTTTACACTTTGTGCAAGCTGGGCTTTACAAAAAAAGTGCCAGGCAAACTTTCCACATAATGGAGCTCAGCAAGCACATAAGAAGAGACAGGCAGACAAAGAAAGGATCAAGGGCACCAACTATTCAGCATCATCCTTTGTTTCCGGATTCTCATGCCGCTCAGTCAATGGGGCTCCTGCAAGTTGAGCTCTGTCAGGACTGGAATCTCTCTGTTCCCATTTATATGTATCAGGGTGCTCAGGCTACAGTAACAACAAAGCCACAAAGGAAGCCAAGTTGTGGGGAAGTAGTGGTCCCAGCGGCATTATTCCTAAAGCCACATGTGTTGAGAACACCACTAAAAGGGGGGTAAAAACCGTTAAGCAAGTGACTTGTTTATGAACATCTTGGCTTTCTCTTTGCTAAGAGACTGGAACTTACTGTTCGAGTACTGCGGAAAGACTTGCTTCAGTAGTTTCTCACTCAAACTGCAAAGCGCTCCCTCTCTCTTTCTCCTGGCTGCACTTGTTTTCGTAATCTATACACCTGCCTCTTATTTTTTAAATAGTTTTCCTCCTATATCTGCACAGCCTTTGAAAAGGTAACATGAGAAAACAAAGCAGCTGCTGCAGATCTAAAAGAATCTGATAAGAAGCTGATCCATATAAAAAGTCCTTGGCAAAATGATGATTTACCTGGGAGTTTATGACACAAAGGCTGGGTGAATCTCAAGGTGCATCTACACCAAGCATGGGCAAGCTTAGGCCTTCCCTCCAGGTGTTTTGGACTTCAACTCCCACAATTCTTAACAGCCTGAGACCCTTTCCTTAAGTGGCTGAGGGGAGAAGGAAAGGGTCTGAGGCTGTTAGGAATTGTGGGAGTTGAAGTCCAAAACACCTGGAGGGAAGGACCAAGTTTGCCCATGCCTGATCTGCACTGTCAAATTGAGGCTGTTAGATACCACTTTAACTGCCATGGCTCTATGCTATGGAATCCTGGGAACTGTAGTTTGGCACCAGCACTCTTCTTGTAAAACCACAGCTCCCATAATTCTAAAGTGTAGATGCACCCTCAAGTTTCTAAAAACATTTTTGAAAGCTAGACATTATCCAATGTCCAAGCAGTGAAGGGGGGGGGGGAGATAGAGGGAAACGCAGTTTAAGTTTGTCATTACCATTCAGAACAACTTGTTCAGTGTTCCGGCTGCCTTGAGCTGTTCATGCATTGCTAGCTCTGTGAAATCCGCAAAGGGAGGCGGCGCAGGGAGAGAAATGCCCCGTCAGAGCTCCACAATCCCCCGCCTTCTCATTCAAAAGTGAGAAGACGCTCAGCCTTCCCTCCTCTGCTTTGGATGATAAGATTCAAGTTGTCTTTTCAACCTTTCCCGCCTCAAATAAAACACCCTCTCATAGGAGGAATTGGAAATAAGCAGCCAAACTTCCCCACCACTTCAGCTTCATAAGAGACAAGAGGTAAACTGATTCGGTAGAACACTGATGCCCAACCTTTAGTCTTCCAGGCATTTGGGGGCCCTTCCAAACAGGCCCCATATCCCAGTATCTGACCCCAGGTTTTCTACCTTAAACTGAACTCCACCAATAATGGAATTGAACCAGACTTGACACACAGAACTCCAATGACCAACTGAAAATACTGGAAGGGTTTGGTGGGCATTGAGTTTTGGAGTTGTAGTTCATCTACATCCAGAGAGCAGTGTGGACTCAAACAATGATAGATCTGGACCAAACTTGGCATGAATACTCAATATGCCTAAATGTGAACACAGGTGGAGTTTGGGGGAAACAGACCTTGACATTTGGGAGTTGTAGCTGCTGGGATTTGTAGTTCACCTACAGTCAAAGAGCATTCTGAACCCCCAACGACAGATTTGGTCCAAACTTCCCACACAGAACCCCCATGATGAACAGAAAATACTATGTTTTCTGATTGTCCTTGGTGACCCCTCTGATACCTCCTCGAAACCCTCCTAGGGGTCCCGACTCTCAGGGCCCCTCCACACAGCCCTATATCCTAGAATATCAAGGCAGGAAATCCCACATTATCTGAGTGTGAACTCAGATAACCCAGTTGAAAGCAGATATTGTGGGATATTCTGCCCTGATATTCTGGAATATAGGGCTGTGTGTGGAAGGGCCCTGAGATAAGCTAGTTCAAAGCAGATATTGTGGGATTTTCTGTCCTGATATTCTGGGATATAGGGCTGTGTGGAAGGGCCCCCAGATAACCCAGTTCAAAGCAGATACTGTGGGACTTCCTGCCTTGATATCCCGGGATATAGGGCTGTGTGGAAAGGCCCCCAGGTCGAGAAAGGCTGCTCTAGACCTTGTCGAACCACAGCTCCCAGGAGCCAACCGGGGGAAGAGCCCCCTCCCCCCCAATATAGCAGGAGTAGGAAGAAGCCCAGGCGGCTCACCTGGAGGATCTTGTCCAGCCCTTCTTGGCCCAGGCAGGGAAACTCCTTGAGCAGCTGCGTCTTCTTCTGCTTGTAGTTCTTCGAGGCGCGCTCCCAATAGGGCTCCTCCAAGACCTCGAAGATCGCCGCCCCGATGGACAGGTAGAAGATGATCGCGGACGTGAGGAGCGGGCCCCGGTCCACCATGGCGCGGCTTGCCGGCAAAGAGAGACCACGTCGGGGTTGAGATGGGGCCGCCGAGTCCTTGAGTTCCCCGCAGGCTTCGGAGAGAAAGAGGCTTCAGGAGGGAGGCAGTGGGAGAGGGAGGCTGAATGAAGAGAGAGAGAGCCGCCTGGGCTTCCCACCCCTTCCTCCTCCTCCTCTTCCCCCAGCCCTTGGTCTTCTTTTCTTGTGCGGATGCTTTCCCTCTCCCTTTTGCCCTCCTCCCACTCCCACCGTCTCCTCCTCCTCTTCTTCCTCCTCCTCGCTTCTCTCACTCTTTCCCCCGACTTTCGCCTTCTTCCACTGTTTGAATTTGGTGCCTTTCCCCGAGCGGCGCATGCGGATGGGAAAGCAGAGGGCCTCGGGGAGCCCGCGAAGAGCCCCAGGAGGCGGCCAACCCGCTCCCTGCCAATCCAAAGTCCTGCCCGGAGCCCGGGGTTTCTCTGGGGCTCGTCTGCCCGCGCGCCCAGGACGGCCCTGCCTCGCTACAGGTTGGCCCCACGCCGCGCAGGGCTCTTTGGGAGCCGAGGGCCCGCCCCGAGAGGCCAGCCCGTGGGGCCCTTGTTGGCGAGGAATGCTGCCACCGCCCGGGCAGGCGCGGAGAGAGACTTACCTTCCGCCCAGTGCCAGCACACCTCACGAGTCCCGTCTGAGCACCAGGTCTATATATACACAGGCGCGCACATGGACGGACACTCTAGCTCTCTCTCTCGCAGTTTTTCCGCCCCCCTGGGGCAGAGAGAAGACCCGGCCCCGTTTTGTGCAAAACACACACAACTGGGGGTGGAATTGGAGCTCTTCTTTATCTCCACGTTGTGTCCCTAATTGATAGGGGAGACAGGTTAGATGTGCCTCTGGGCTCCATGGGGCCCTCTCTCCCACTGGAACTTTACTAACCCTCTATCACAGGCATGGGCAAACTGGGGCCTGCTGGGTGTTTTGGACTTCAACTCCCACCATCCCTAACATCCTCAGCCCCTTCCTTTCCCCCTCAACTGTCTGAGGCTGTTAGGAATGATGGGAGTTGAAGTCCAAAACACCTGGAGGGACCAAGTTTGCCCATGCCTGGCTTAGAACTGGAACACTTACAGATTTTGTAAGGTTTTGGATGGGGCCCAAGTTTGAAAATCATTTGTTTCATACATGTCCCCCTCCATGGTGCAGTGGGTTAAAGCGCTGAGCTGCTGAGCTTGCTGACTGAAAGGTCGCTGGTTCAAATCTTGGGAGAGGTATGAGCTCCTGCTGTTAGCTCCAGCTTCTGCCAACTTAGCCGTTCGAAAACTTGCAAATGTGAGTAGATCAATAGGTACCACTCCAGCGCTCCATACAGTTATGCCAGCCACATGATCTTGGAGGTGTCTACAGACATACAGTTATGCCGGCCACATGATCTTGGAGGTGTCTATGGACATACAGTTATGCCGGCCACATGATCTTGGAGGTGTCTATGGACATACAGTTATGCCAGCCACATGATCTTGGAGGTGTCTACGGACATACAGTTATGCCGGCCACATGATCTATGGAGGTGTCTTCGGCTTAGAAATGGAAAAGAGCATCAACTCCCAGAGTAAGGCACGACTGGACTTAATGTCGGGGGAAACCTTTCCCTTTACTTTCATACATACACTTTATGCATACACCCTGGAAGTAATTCTATACACAGCCTTTTTAATACAAAGGTTATCCATAAAGTAAGGTTACAAGGCACATAGCTCTCACGGGGGAATTTTCTCCGGGGAAGTTCGTATCACTGCCATGTAGTGGGAAGCCAACAGAAGTGAATGAGCAGTGCCAGTCATCAGTCGCTCATTGACTAGCATTGTGGTTAAGGTTAGCGATGAGTGTCCTCATTCCGATTCCCTCCAAGTGTGAAGTTTGCGCTGAAATATGTTAGCTAAATGCTAAAGACATGAGTGCCATTGCGATTTATCGCAAATCGTTTCAGTTTATGATGAGGACATAATGCCAAGACAGCATGTGACAAAATGGGTACGGAATATATTGTGAGACCATGAAGAAACTTTGCAGAGCCATCTAAAACAAACATCATGGGATGCTGATGGCGGGAATCTGCACAATGCGTGTCTGCACACTGCTCATGCAACACAAGAGTTGTTGACTTCATTTGCTTGGGATGTTTTAAGCCCCCCTCTCACAGGCCCAATCCCGCACCCAGTGACTATTATCTGTTCACTAAATTAAAGGAACACCTGGGTTGAAAACACTTTTCTGATGACAACAAGGTGAAAATCCAAGTGACGAACTGGCTGAAAAAAGGTGGAAGGAAACTTCTATGACACAGGCATCAAAAACTTGTCCAACGGATGAGGAAATATATTGAACTGAATTGTAATTATGTGGAAAAATAATGTAATACCTATGATACAATCTATGTAAGTTTTATTAAAATATATTCATTCTTTATATTTTAAAAAAGTCTTGTAATTTTACTTTCCTGATAACCCTTGTAATTTGGTGCATGAAGCAAAACTGGTGGGCACTGAAACATCAGAAAGCAAAGGTGTCTTCAATCTCAGCCACCCAAAGAAGCAGTTTCTGATTTTGGAGTATTTCACATTTCAGAATTCCAGATTAGGGAGATTTTCTGTCCCAGCTATCTCTGACAAGTATCAAACGCTGCCTTGTGTTTTGAGCCCGCCCACCAAGAAAAGGTATGTTTGATGACAAAAAAGAGGGTAGTTCTGTAATTCTCTACTGAGGAAAGGTAGATGAGCTCCTTCTCTTCAGCATGGTTTCATTGAAACCGGGCCCTTGCAACTAGACATCAGAATAGTTGCAAGACCAAGAACAAGCCAGAGGAAAAGTGTTCTTACCATACATCAAGGGAACCACTGACCGCATAGGGAAGCTGATGAAGACACACAACCTACAAATTATCGACAGATCCACTAAGAAAGTCAAAGAAATGCCACATTCAGCAAAGGACAAGTGAGATCTTCTCACCTCTGCACAGGCCCGTGGCCAGGATTTTGATTTGGGGGGGGGGGGGCTGAGTTTGATTTGGGGACTGAGTTTGATGAACCAACATGGACACAGCATATTATTTGAGCACCCAGAAATACTGGATCACTCTAATAAGCACCATGTCAGACTACACAGAGGAGCCATTGAAATCCACAAACATGTGGACAATTTCAACAGAAAGGAGGAAAACATGCAAATAAACAAAATCTGGCTACCATTATTTAAAAAACTCAAAAAATCAGGACAGTAAATAAAGAACAACAGTCAAAAACAGGGGAATTCCAGTCAAGAAACAATCAGGGCCAGCTAATCACCTCCCAACAAAGGTTTCCCCCAGTCAGAAAGCAGCCAGGCTTTGAAGCTGCAAGGCTATTCAATGCTAATCAAGGTGATCAATTACAGCATTAACACCTGCTTCAAACATACAAGAGTTCTTTTTTCCCACCCTGGACATTCCACAGATTTATAAACCCCACTTGTCTAGTATCCAACAAACCTCACAACCTTTGAGGATGCCTGCTATAGATGTGGATGAAACATCAGAGGATAATGCTTCTGGAACATGGCCATACAACCCAGTAAACTCACAGCAACCCAGTGATTCCATCCATGAAAGCCTTCAACAACATGGCTTTGTTTATTTATTTGGCTCCACTTTTCTTCCAGAAACAAAGGGCCCTTCCATATAGCCATATAATCCAGAATATCAAGGCAGAATAATCTACTATATCTGCTTTGAACTCGAATAGCTGAGCGCACAGTGCCACAGACCCCAGTTCAAAACAGACAATGTGAAATTTTATTTGGCTATGTGGAAGGGGCCAAAGGTGCAGGGCACCAACTTCTTCCCATTTGCCTGAAGCAGCTGCTTCAACCGTGGTTCTCCTTGATGACTCAAAGGTGGAAGTTGGGCCCTAAATTGCTTGTGTGAGCTAGAGGGGATTGTGCTTGTTCATGTGCACCTCCAATCCATTCCCAAATTATGGTGATCCTAAGGTAATCCTATCACTAGGTTGTCTTAGCAAAATTTGTACAGAGAAAGTTTGTCATTGCTTTTGTCAGAAGCTGAAAGAGTGACTTGCCCAAAACCACCCAGTGTGTTTCCATGTCTGAGCAAGCATTGAAACTCTTAAGACTCTCTTAGAGTCTTAAACCACCTCTGAAACCATTACATCACTAGCTCTGCCCTTACCATTGCTCATCTTCAGTTTTTCATAGCAGTACAGTCAGAGAGGATTTGAGGAGCAGTAACTAAAAAGGATAACAGGTTATTCAATGTATTGTCGAAAGCTTTCATGGCTGGAATCACTGGGTTGTTGTATATTTTTTTGGGCTATATGACCATGTTCTAGAGGCATTCTCTCCTGACATTTTGCCTGCATCTATAGCAAGCATCCTCAGAGGATGCTTGCCATAGATGCAGGCGAAACGTCAGGAGAGAATGCCTTTAGAACATGGCCATATAGCCCAAAAAACCTACAACAACCCAGATAACAGGTTAATTTGAGTAAGATAAACTTCCAGTTATAGAAAGTGAAATAAAAGTTGCACTCAGAGCACTTAGCATGCTGGGACTGATGGTATGCTGGAAAGAGAAGCTTCATTTTACAGAGGCAGAATAATAATGATGAAGATAATTACTCGCTTCTCCTTGTGGCTTGAGGCGGCATACAGCATGCCCTCTCTCATTGGGTGACATAAAATGGGGACATAGAAGTAGACATGTTGGATTAGGGAGAAAATAAGAGAGCAAGTATGCCGGTTTGAATCTGGGGAGCGGCGTGAGCTCCCACTATTAGCCCCAGCTTCTGGCAACCTAGCAGTTCGAAAACATGCAAATATGAGTAGATCAATAGGTACCACTCTAGCAGGAAGGTGACAGCACTCCATGCAGTCATGCCAGCCACATGACCTAGGAGGTGTCTACGGACAACACCGGCTTTTCAGCTTAGAACTGGAGATGAGTACCAACCCCCAAGAGTCGGACACGACTAATGTCAGGGGAAAATCTTTCTCTTGCCTAGGGTGATAAAATGGTAGTCCTTAAACAAGGAAGCACATCTGTCCTCTTCTACAGTTGTGTTCTCTCATAGGGCCCTTCCACACAGCCATATGACCCAAAATATCAAGGCAGAAAAGCCCACAATATCTGCTTTGAACTCGGTTATCTGAGTCCACACTGCCATATATCGCAGTTCAAAGCAGATTGTGCCAGATTTTATTCAGCTATGTGGAAGGGGCCTTAGATCAATGCAGTGGTCATGGTGAAACAATTTTTTTACCAGCCCAGGTAACACAGGTGGACAGAATAAACCCATGGGTCTAATTTTCCTCCATATTAATACTTGTCTCCCTATACTCTGTTTCTGGGTGGTATCGAAGGCATTGCTTCCATTGTTACATTTCCCAAAGAAAGATGGAGGGAACAGTTAGAAGACTGTAACTGAAAAATGCCTTACTTGAAAGTACAGCATGGCCTCCATGACCAGAGAACCATTACCCACTGTTTCATTTACCCTCATCTGACATATCTCCTCTGGGCATGTTCCAGATCATCCAGCTCTTTGGTATGCTTTTTTGTTAGTTTTTTGGGTTCAAAAGGGTTTCCTATTATTTGACCTTTTTTTTGCTAACCACTCCGAATATATTTTCCAAGATACAGAACTTGTA